ACAGCACTGAGCATATTGGTAAGCAAATGGATTTGGGTGTATCCTACCAGTAACTAATCAGAGGTGCATCCTATTACCATTGTGCAATTGTTTTTCTGCTGAGTGTTCTTAAGCATATAGAGTACTAAATATATTATGTATATTGAGCCTTAAGTGTAATTCACAAATTAGGACAGAGGAGGAGACTTTAGGAAATAGGATTATATGCCTATTGCACATAGTGTTTGAAGGGACTAAGATCCCTTGTTTCCCAAACAGGTTAAAGCCAGGTATCTGGACAAAGAAGAGATCGTAGTCCTGCACTGGATTCCTACCTCACTAGCGACTGAAATAGCCATAATCCTTTAGTTTTCTGCATAGTCTGTCTCAGACTTCCTCTGCGCGTGGGCTCAGAAAGTACAAACAAGTTGAGCCACAGAATTGTAGAGGAGCCCAATTAGCAAAGTACTGAATGCTCTTGGACATGGCTAAAAATCCGGATACCTAGAAGTTACTGTAGATAGATGGACAGATTGCGTGAGTGTAGTTTTACAGTGTAGTTTCTTGCAAAAGGGGCTGGCTTGAGTAAATACTGTAATGAAGACATACTCTTTGACAATATTTATAGTCTTAATGTTTATTATAATATTTTGCAGCTCTGAAGGCAAAAGCATGAGAATAGTTCTAACTGCAGTCATTTATAGGACTACAATGAAAGGCAAAGTGGGTGTAAAACATGATTAAAGCAAACCCACTGAATTCATTTCTAAGAAACAATGTACAAGCCAAGCTGTAGTGGATTACCTCTGTATGCTTTGGATGAAAATATAGCTGGCTGTTTAGAATATTTTCACTGTTAAGTGATGTCAGCCATCTTATAGTAGGAGCACAGGGAATTTCAAGTTCCTAGAGGTGGATAATCAGTCTTTATTCAGTTCTTTGAAATGAACTAAGTTCATTCGTGAGTGTTCTTCGTAAAGGCTGGAAAGAGTTATTAATACGGGTTGGCTGACAAGCCAAGCCAGTTCTACTTCTCCTCTAATGATTATCTATGGCATTTGCTGCTTCTAAAAAATTCATTTTGTTGTAAAACAAATGTTTTTACATTGTATAGATATGGTATGGCCATATCTAGGTAAAAATAAACTGAATGGCTAGTTCACACATGTTATGAACCCAGCTGATAAAGCTAATGACGATTGCAGCTGGCTGACATTTCACTTTGTAAGATCCAGTTGCTGTTAACTTTCTAAAATTTTAATCCTATGGGATGAAGTATCCTATGCTGAGTAATGAAACAATACATACATTTTAAAGAATGCTGTTTTTATCATTTTAAAAGAATCCAGAGAACTTTCTTTGCAGGGCAGTAGTTCCTTGACTTTGTTATCTAGTCAAGCCTAACTAAGCAAAATCGGCATTGTTCTGTGCTTTACCGGTAAACAATAGCATACCAGTAACTGCAGCTGCTAATGCACATTGACTCTGTAACTGAGACATCAGTTACCAAACAGTTGCTTCCTATATCACAGGACAAACATATTCTGTCGCCTAGATGAAGTTCCCAAACTGTACCCAGCCAAACCAATTTGGCTAGTGCTTCTGTATCCACACTCCATTGATAGGAGGTTAGTTCAGGAGGCACAGTATCCTAAAGGAACCCTGCTCCTTGCTGAGGTGTCGCATAACAGGATAGCGGCTATTAATTTCCCAGAAAGGTAGTGTTGGTGAAGGCAATGCAGGTATGTCACACTGAAGCAGCATGTGTTAAGGAAAGGATAGTTCTGGGGCATCACACTAGTCAACTGACGTCTGAACTTTTTGAAGGCTGTGTAAACATCTTCATCTAAGTTCATGTAAGAGTACAGAGTAGATTCCGGGGAAGAAAGAGGCTCTATTCTTCAAGAGAAAATGGGTCAATTGCTTCCTTTTGTATAAAGCTTGAGCTATTCTGTCTTACATTTTGTCCCTCGTTGTTTTCTTTGTGACTATTTTGTGCAGTCCAAGCCAAGAGGGAAGGAAGCTAGGTACACTCTGTATCTGATCGCTAATGTACTTTTACCTCATTAGCTGTGAATCGCTCCCTTTCAGTAGGAAGGAGAGATTTCATAGAAAAATACCTTAATATCAAAGATGTACCTTTGCAAGCCCTAGGAAAATTTGGCCAAATTATGAGACTTTGTGAAACTGCAGTTTGCACATGTTAACAGAGACATGTTGGAGCTTAGCACGTAAGTCTCAAAATACTCCATGCTCACAGATACATCTCTCACACACATGACCAGACAGCAGCAGTGCCATTCACAGAGAGGTAGTAGGCATGCGCCCAAACCACGGCTGCCTCACTGTTGAAGAACTTTCCCTTGTAATTGCTCGTACTGCGCTTTGGATCAGAAAACTGAGAGCAGTCACTAATCGCTCTGTGATCCTCTCGTCCCTTCCTGACATTTAGTCAACACGAAGGAAGAAACCATCTGATTTAAATAGAGAAGAAAAGGCAACAGATTGGAACGAGGAGATGAGGGAGGTTGAAATAAGAAGTGTAGGCTGGATAAAGAGTTGGGAACCAGGAGGAAAGAGAGAGAGCTGAGGAAGAAATTTAAGAAAAGGACCCAGAAAACTGGAGGAAGTTGATCTGAAGGGATGTTTGGGAGCCTGCTGGAAGTAATGGGGGAAGCTGGAACTTGGGAGAAATGAAAGTAGGAGGAAGGAAAAACACAGTGAGTCATTCTGGAAATCTGGGTCCTTTCCACACTAGATTGACTAAACCCAGAAGAAATATTTAGCATAAAGGTATTGCCACAGCCTGTCTCATCCTATTTCAGAACTGAGTTAAGTCATGCCAGTTTATGCCCTATTTTACACTAGTACAATACATATCTGGGTTGATGCACCTATTTCTGGGCATAGGCAAGTCTTTAATTTTATGTCAAATTAGTGCTAAACTGGTCTGCTTTGTCTTTTATAGCTTGCTTCCTTTATTAATTACTCCAGTTTACTTAATAAACAAGAATTCTCTATCAATGATGACTCTCTGCAGCTGGTATACACGGTCCCATTTTACAGATGAAGAAAATGAGTCAGATGAATCATGTAATTTGCTTTAGGAAGAGCAAAATGAATCACCGAATGAGCCAGGAGTCTAAATTCAGGAGTTTCTGATCTCCTGTTTTGTCTAGAAATTCCAATTCATGCTTCCTGCTGCATTTTTCTCCATTTGCAGTACTGAGATAACAAGCCTACATTTTTTAAAGTGTGCATCGCTCCTATTAACCCTAACTGAAGTTACCCTCAAGCAGCAATGAGCCAACAGTCCTTATGACTTGAAAAGCAAACCTAGCTCATTAGTTACTGTGGCTTAATGCTTCCTATCTGCTTGTCATGTGTTGCTCAAAACCAAGCTGAGAATTGTCCTCTTTGCTTTGTTTACATACTAGAGGAAAAAGCATGTTTGTAGCCAGAAAATTCTTTAAACGAACAAGAGAAGGGTAGACTAATTGTTAGTATGCACACACAAGCGTATCATACTGTAAAGAAATGTGCAAGGGGGGTGAGAACTGAAGGAACAAGAGACAGTCATGAAAGGAGAGAGGATGAGGAGGCTGGACTTGCATATTAATAAGAACTTTCCTTTAATTGGGTATTTCCTTTCTCTACTTTTTTTTTCCTTTTCCACCACCCCTGTTTTTATTTCCCCCTCTGCCTTATGTGTTATCTCTTGTTTGTTTCCATTCTGTGCGAGAGCAGCATGAAATTGGCCAATATCCTGATTTCTAAGAAAGTGCAGTTCAGGGAGCGTGCCACCACACACTGGGAAAAGTAATGCTGAAATGAACTGGTACATAAATCAGAACTCCAGGGCAGCAGCTTCTAACATCTCTCTGCTCAAGGAAGAGTTTTGTATTATTCTCAGAAAGCAGACAATATGATATTTATAGGATTGCTGCTAGGTTATTTTTTTATTCTGTACAAATGTATTTCACTCATGTCTGAAAATTGAATGCCTCTTTGTATAAGTGAAGTGTTTTAAAGTTAGGTGAAAAGGAAACGAAGCACACATCTAGCGGGTATCAAATGTCTGGTTCAAACTACATTATAAACAGGTAAAAATATAATCTCATAATTTGACATTTTCTCCTGCCTCCCCCCTAATATTTGTACCGAAGATCATCTATACCTGCTGCTGCTGCTGCTGCTGTTGTTCCTCCTGTTGGGGCAGTCATATGACTAAACCTCACCGTGCCCTTCCCCAGAGTGAATGAGCTCTATGGTAATCCTTATAATTAAACAGGCACCTGTTCCAATATTATGTTCAGGGAGAGACAGCCAGACCCAAATACATTCTGTCCCAGTCCATTGTCTTTAATTTATATTGTTTATTTATAAAAGCCTTCTTTCACTATTCAGGATATCCTCTCTCTTGACTCATTGTTGATTTTTGAAACAGTTAAGTATATATATAATATATATAATAAGACATAATGAAATAAGAATGGAGAACTCCACTGAAATGAGTGAATTCGAATAGATATAATGCAGGGTACGTTTATTCTTAATGACCACTCTCTGTATTTTTTGAAATGGAGTCCCTTCCCTTTAGTCTCCCTTCTTTATTTTTGTCAAACGTAGACTGATCCAGTGAATACTTTATCACATTAACCTTATTCATGTGAGCAGCTTGTTTGCCTTCACTGAAAGTACCTTTACTAAGGTTTTCATAATTAAGACAAAAACCTGAGTCTTTCATCCTCTTTCGAATTGCTTCGCAAATTGCAAGCTCAAAGGGAATTACAGCATATTTTTAAAGAAATATGAATCTGAAAAAATACACAAATCTATAAAATGAGGTGGTTTAACATACCTCACATTATTCCATTAAATATTTGACCCTGAACTTTCACTCCCTGCTTGGGTCCTCTGGAATATGCATAAGCCAGGAATATGCATAAGCCACACTCTCAGAGTCTGAGAAATACAGTTTCCTGGTTTTCAAAATATGTTTAGCTTCTACTAACCTTAATTTACTCTCCAGTTTAGTTAACTGCACATGGTAAGCCTCTATACGTACATATGGAGTCTCAGTGAGTTTTTTGCACTTCTGTGTGAGCATCGTCTAAGAGGCTCTTCTGAAAAAAAAGAAAAAGCAGGAAGAATACAGTCCAGAAATATATGTCCATTGGAATGGAAAGATATTGACTGTGTGGAATACACCCACCTGATCCTAACGTAATTCCTTCCCTCGGCGCTAGCAGATTGTTCCCTCACCCTGATTAGGCTGCTGACATTATGTTGCCTGTGAGGGAAATTCCTTCCTGACTCCAGATTTGGCAAATTTATAACCCTGTTGACGTAAGCAAAGCTCACTGATGTTATCTAAGACCTAATTGTCCAATCAGTTCTACATACAAATCTCCTATTGAAGTAAATAGAATTACACATGAGTAGCTGAAAAGACGTTCGGGACCCTGATACGATTTCCACTCCATAGCCATGGCTACAAGATCGCTTTCAGCCAACACTGCCACTGAAAAAGAAAAAAGTAGTCTCACCATTTTCTCCACCAACCGCTGCTTGTTTCTAGCATCTTCTATAGAGGCACAAGTATTTGTGCAGCAGCACAATGAACCAATGAAGCTAAAATTAGCCTGGACAAAAAGGGGAGATATGTAATCTGCTTTTCAACATTCAAATACTATTAATTTTCATGCATCTACATTTTCTGAGCAGAAAGCCTTCGCAATTTCAGTACAGCCTTCTGTTGCCTGATCTATCGGACTGACTACATTGCTGTGCTATCATATTGAACTGGACTAACCACAGAAAGGGAGACATGCAGCATGCTAACATTACATGTTACACAATAATAGATTCTACTGGAAATGTTTTTTTTCCTGTGATCTTCTATGATGGAGGATGCAAAACAAAAACTGTTTTGATTTAGAAATGCAGCTGTGGTGCATCATGACAGTTGTAGCTTAGGAGCTTTGTGGTCCTATTGTTTTCTGTCTGTTAGGCTCTCCAGTCGGACAGAAAGTATTATATATTGTGGTATGTCTGAGTTGTCTGGCTTTATATGGAACCTGCTAGGAAGGAATGGATGCTATCTTTCTGTTCCTGTCCTGTTACTAAGCTGAACTGACTGCAGCCAGGGATTCAATTATTCTGTCTAGCTGAAACCTTTATGATCCAATTACATAAGACTAGTGATCGCTGCCCGTTACCTTCACTCATCATACCTTGACCACATCTCCTCTGAGATCTTCATCCTTGTGGATTCTTTCTCTTGGCATTTAGGGAGGAAGGTGTGCCATCAAAATGTAATAACTGCCCACTGTTACCTTTCTGTCATTATGCCTTTGAATTCCAGTCTTACACGGAGATAAAGGAGAAGCTAGACGACTGGAGTTTTCAGTATGGCCCAGATCATCTTCTGCATCAAGCAGAATTTATAGACTACACAAAATCTCCAAATCCTAACACTATTCAAATGTAGCTATGCAATGCAAAGCACAAATAAGAAGTGGCAATTTTCAACAGGTCATGACTAGGCCAAATCTGAATAGAACCTGGTATCATGAGCAGCAAGACACTGTATTTCTGTTACGATCTGCAGAGAGAAAAAAAAAAAGTAGAGTTAAATAACTGTCAGTGATGCCAATCAACGAACTTAGAACCAGAATTAAGGACATCTAATTTCTCTGGCTTTATGTCATGAGGGTAATTGGTTCTGGCATGTAACCCTACAGTTTCGTGATAAGCTAAAGCTGATCCAGCTTCAGGCGGCTGCCAAAAGGGCAGATCGACACTTCCGCTCCCACTAGGCTTTTCTCCTTCTCTTTTGTCCACTCTGAGCAATTACGCAGCAATGGGGGAGGGAGGGGGGATCAGCTTGCTATCCCAATTGCAAACTAGTATTTTTTGGGGTTGGCAGAATTAGTTTTCATTTGGTTCACTGAAGTGGTAGAACTCACCGCACAGATACCCCGGTGAGGGGCCTGGGCCCACGTAAGGGGCAAAAGCAGAGCAGTTGATGGGAGAGCAAGAATGTCCCCGTGGGTAGCGGTATAACCTTACGTACAAGGTGTGAGTACCTGCTCTGCAAGTACGAGTAGTATCTTTTCCCTTTATCAGGTCCTCTATTTCCTAAAATCTCCAAGAAGACAATTTCTTTGAAAACCTTATCAAACGGGATTGAAATCAGCTAGGGGCTTTGACAGCTATTC